GCAGTTAAAAATCAGGTGTGTGATTTCTTCTATTCTTTCCTCAGATTCAGTTGAGTCACAAAGAGAAGCCCATCCTGATAGATCTGAGAAACTTTGCAGAATCTGTGATAATGTACGGATAATGATTTTTTTTTTTTTTGAGCCAGCTGTATATACTTGTTAATAGAAATATATAATAAATTCATGGCAACTTTTTTTTTTTTGAAAATAAATTATGTGGGAGAACAGGGGTGGGCTAGAAAGGGCTAATGAGGGGAGAAAAAGGAGACATATGCATTACTTACAACAATAAAGATTTTTTAAAAACAATGTTTGTGGTTCTTCCCTCTCCACCTACACACAGACACACTAACTTGGATGCATTTCTTTTAAAACGAAACCTGAGCGATTGGAAACACCTGTCTGCAGCCCAAAGTCACAAAGGCAGATGTTCTCATATTTCACACTGAGCCCTTATTAATAGGTCCTCCTTTCCCAGCATAGATCTCTCCATGTTTCAGGCTCTGATCAATCAGCTTGATATGAGAGTGATGAGATCTCCTAGAATAAATTTTGAACTTCCAAGTGGTCCTGGAAAAGAGATTATGGGAATGAAAAGCCTTTTCTGGACAAGTGAACAGGTAAAAACTTGTCCTACTAATTATTAGCCACTCCCTGCAAATATTCCTTACCCTGACTTAAATGTTTCCTTTGAGTTCCAAGGTTGGCAATTGATTCCATAATTCTTTAATTGTAATATAACTTTGCTTTAGGCTAGTCCCTGCATTTCTTAGGAAAAACTGACAGGATACCATGAAGTATTGGTTGTGAGAAGTATCAGGTCTAAGAGCTTTCAGTCCATCTTCTAACACATGGAAAAGTCAGGAGAGGAAGTTTTTCCAGGGACATAAAAAGACTGTGTTCAGGAAAGTAATAAATCCTACATAACTTCAAACAGACGGGTCAGGGGCAGGTATCTTCAGTGTGTTCGGTCTAGAGTAGCCCAGTTGGTATGGATTGTGTTACGATATCCCAGCATCCTTTCAAAAGGAAATTTTCTCTTTAGACGGGCTATTGCTGTGCAATTGTGGAGACCTGTTCCCTTGTAGCAACATTTTTTAAGTTAATTATGAGCATTTCAGATGCCTGACTGGTTGGCTTGTTAGTGTTACTTCTCTCGAGTTGCTAGAGGGCAGCATTGGATTATGAAGTAACTGAAGGAATGGTTTTTGTAGATTTTAACCACCTTGTCTTTAGCTTCTGCCAAACCATTGTTTCAGGAACGGACACCAAGCCTTGGATGTGCTTATTCTGAATATGGTTTTCAGAGGCTGGAAGACTTACAGGAAGTTATTCTAGAGAAATCGATGGAAGCAGAGTTGGGTCACTTTTATACTCTCCTAGGAGCAGAGCCAAGAATCCCCAGTTCAATCTCCTGGATAGATAAACATGCTGTTCTACAGACATACTGCCAATCCCATGTCTTGCCTTTAGTGGTTTTTTTCTCTCTGGGGAAGTTGGGAATTTGAGTCAGGTTCATACTTTTCTTGGTAACCAGTGCTCAGCTTCAAAGAGTTGAGAGCCACAGCCATGAACACATTTACACAATTCTCTGTTGGCAGTTGCAAAGTTAACATGAATGTAGCTCATATCTTTGGGGGGGTGGGGGGGGGGGTTGGGGTGTGACTGCCTTGAACTGTGAGGTGCTATTTTACCATCCAGAGTCACACAGGCTAAACAGGTTTATTGGAGTGATGAGTTGGCAAGTTGAAGTCTGGTGATCCCACTTATTTCTCCTTCCATTCCCATCCATCTTTATTAAAGGATGATTAGTCTGTGGGCTTTCTTTGGACAAATTACAGGTGAGACGTCTCTTGTGTTCCTGTGTGTGTGTTTCTGGTGAGGATACATAAGCCTTTCTAAGCCTGCACGGGTGAGGTGACCTGCTGTAGGGTTTGTGACCAGCATTGTTACACTTGAGCTTGGGAATGGGGTGGAGGCAGGCAGATGCCTGTGAAAATGAAGTGCTTGCCTACACCTGCCATCGGCTTTCAAGCTTCTTGGGATGTCATTGGAATCCATTTCCAAATTTGCCACACACAACAAAAAAGCATTGTCCTGTTAATACTTATCTGGAGGAAGTGGGGGCTGGGGCCGGAGGTATGGGGTTGGTACAGCATTTCTGAGCCCTTGATGCCATATTTGTGCTGATACATGTGTATCTCAGGAGATTCTCATTGTTCTTTTCCCCTTTTTATAGGGAAGTAAATTGCATTTCAGAGAGATGGAACATCCCAACATTAAAGCCATCATCCTTAGGAAGACGAGTGGTCCTCAAGGGTTTATATACTCTTTAACTTTTTTTTTAATATATTTTTTTCTTGATTTTTTTTACAGAGAGGAAGGGAGAAAGAGATAGAGGCTAGAAACATCGATGAAGAGAAACGTTGACCAGCTGCCTCTTACACACCCCCTACTGGGTGTGCCCGCAACCAAGGTACATGCCCTTGACTGGAATGGAACCCGGGACCTTTCAGTCCGCAGACCGACGCTCTACCACTGAGCCAAACCGGTTTCGGCTTAACTTTTTTTTTTTCTTTTTCTTTTTTTTTTTATATAAAAGAATATTTTAATTTTTGTCCTTAGAAACTATAAAGACTATACATGATTTGAAAATGAGATTATACCAAACATTGGCCAAAGAAGAATGGTCCGCTCTATGCCTTTTCTTTTGTCTGGTCACTCAGAAATATAATGTTATCAGCTATGATTGTTGTTGCTTGTCACCTCACATTATTTTTATCCATATATTCATCATAATCTACTTTCCCTTCCACATAAATTCGAGACCCCTTTTTCACATACTGATATGCCACATGCTGATATGCCACATCTCTGAGGCCTGGTTGGAATACTGAAATCCTGTGCCATGTTGTCTATTGACTTTTTTTTTTTTTTAAAGGTTTAAATGTATTTTATTTCTCCATTCATGCCATATTTTAATAGGCATACATTGCTTTCACTTGCCATCAGTTATGAGTTGGTTTTGAAATCATTATCACACCAACTTTGGGATGATTACTAATCTCTCCATTCCTTTGGGGTGACTCTGCCAACAGGGGACAGGTTCCATTCTATTCCAACTTGTGTTGCTGTATAGGTCAATGTAGCAACACAAAAGGTGGCTCCACTAGCTAAAATAGCATTGCCATATTTGTCATGGAAATCGGGTGTCCTCTTCTGGTGAATCTGCCTTGACATTGCTGAATGCTTCGAACTGGGAGACGGCTTAGCGCGTTTTTGGCCAATGGAAACATCGTGAAGCTGAGGACGGCACTGCAGCAACTGCAGCGGCCAGTTGTTGGGACTTGGAGTCAAGTACCCTTGCGAAGAGAAAAAAAACAACAAAAAAAAACCTGTCTATTGACTTTTGTCACCCATTTGGTATGCTTCATTGTCTCCTGATTTCCACATCTCATTTGTTGCCAGAGAAAATATTCTTCCACCTGTCTCATGACAGGATCCTGACCAACTCGCCCCAGTAACTGCATACAATTCAGAGATTTTCCAGAACTAAGCTGCTTGCTACTTCAGACTCATGTCTTACAAATTTATGAAACACCTGCAAAACAGGTCTTCGAAACATTGCTTCTACTTTTCCTAAATCTAATCTTTAGTTCTTTCCGGGCGCTCCAGCAGCACAGCTCTGAGCCCGAGGATACTTCCCGACCTTAACTTTATTTTTCAATTGCTGCTTACACTGTGCCATTTTGTATCAGTTTTAGGTGTATAGCATAGTGATTAGGTAGCCATATGCTTTACAAAGTGAGCTCTGTGGAAGTTCCCTGAGAAGCCAGCTGCTTTTCTCCATGTGCCTTTGTTTTTTTGATGCTTCCTCCTTGCCTTTCTTTTTGTGCCTTTCAAACTACACATCTAGCCAGCCTGAGATGGATTTCTGTGATAGGATTGATACCCTTTGTCCCATTGTTTGCTTATACTGTCTTTCCAAGTTAGATTTTAAGTGGCTTTCCAAAACCCACGCGGCAGGGTCTGCCTGGGGAGAGAGATCTGCCATGCTGTCAGGCAGTCATGTGACATCAGGACAAAGAGTTTTGTGTCCAGATCTAACACTGACTTGCCCAGTATCCTCCGGCCTGTCCATGTCCCTCTCCAGTCCTCAGTCTCCTCATCTGTAAACGGGGCTGGCAATACCTTACAGGGAGATGACCTCACAACACCCCCTCCAGCCTGAGCAGCTGTGCCTTCTGGGGGGCTGCTGGGGGCTCAGGGAGGGGGGGTGCCCTGCAACCAAATGTGGACGCAGCCTGGGGCCCCACTTGCTGCTGCACGGTGCCTTCCCCACCACCAATATGTAAATAGAGAAGCTACATCACAGCTTGAGTCAGCGCCTACCCCCAGGACAAAGACAGTCATCAGGGAGGAGGCAATCATTTATTGCAAGGCAGGGAGGGGAAAGAGGTGGAGGGAGGGAGGGAAGGAGGGAGGAGGGAGGGAGAGGGAGATTTTTTTTTTTTTCTGCCAAGGGCCATTTGGATATTTGTAATATCATTTTCAGGCCATACAAGATTATCAACAAATTAGCTTGCTATATTTGGTCAAACATTTCATTAATTCACCCCTAATGCTTTGACAAGGCCAGACCCAATGATTTCAGGGGCCTTATAAGGCCCGCAGGCCGGATGTTCCCCACCCCTGATTTATTGACTCTTATTGGCACCAGGTTCAACATGTCTCCCCTGCTCCCGCACCCTCCAGCTGCTGGCCCTAGACACTCAGTGCCGATCACAATCACGTTTGCCACCTGAGGTCCCTGTGGGGTCCTAGAGGCACAGGGAAGCAGAAATAGAGGATTCTATAATTTAAATATGTAAAGCGCTACCACCCACCAGACCCTCAGTGGCTCAGCAGTGTTGGCCCAGAACAGGTGGAGGGTGGAGAGGTTCAGGGTGGGGGGTGGGGGCAGATGAAACCACGGGAGTCCAGGGTAGATGGAAACTGGATCACACTTCCGTCGGCGAGCAGGGTTTTATCTTCTGTAAGATAGCGATAACCCATTTGTCTGTCTTCAAGGCACAGCTCTTCCTGCCTCTTCTCATCTTGAATCTGTGGGCAGAGAACCAAAAGGGCCCGAGTCACCGGCCAGGCACAGCACACGAGTCCCGTTGTCCCTCCTTACCGCTGGGTGCCCCTACGCTGCAGTCACAGCGTCAGACCTGCAGTCTCAGGGTCAGGCTGGGGGCAGGCTCACCAGGGCGCACCCATTCTTAGGAAATGGCATTTCCCGTCAACATCCTGAGGATTAGCTAGCATGGAAAATTCCCCTCCTGGGGCTCTTGGAGGGCTTCTCTGCTCATTCTTCCCTGGGTCTGTGTACTTTAGAAACATTCAGTCATTCTGAGGGTGTGTGTGTGTGTGTGTGTGTTTGTGTGTGTTTGTGCGAGCGCGTTTTTGAGTGTTTCTGATCTGCCTACCTCCTGAACTTGGCCATGGTCCTAACAGTAGACCAGTTTTGCCTGTTATTATCTGGGGGATCCTCAGACAATGCCCCTGAACCTCAGTTTTCATGGTTATGAAAATCTGTGAGCCCAAGATGATTAACCAAGACAATATACACACAAGTGCCTTCTAGAGCCACGAGGTGATAACGACCCTGGATGCAGCTAGGGTGTGTACTCCACCTCACAGGTAGGAGTGCAAAGGAGCACCTGGAGAATGCAGGGCAGAGAGGCACCTGCCCAAGGTCCCCTAAGACTAGAGGTTGGCAAATCTGGAGTCAGGAACAAACCGTGACCTGCCCTCACTCTTCTGACTGAGCAGTAATACCGGGAGCGTGTAAGCAGTTCCTTCCTCTGGGCATAACCTTCTGTGTTAGGATAGAATGCTTGGCTCGGAGCTCCAAGAAAGCAGTCACTGCAGGAACACACCGGTGCAGGCGAGGACGCGGGGAGCACCCTCTGGCACCCACACCCAGCTCTGCACCCAGGTTTTAGAGGCCTGGCTCTCAGGGCTTAGAAACCTTAACCTGGAGGGACATCGCCATCTAGCGTCCGGTATTCTAATTCCAGTATCGATTTCTGTTCCCTGGAGGAGGCAGTCTAGAAGGGAACAGGGAATGGCACTCACATTATGCGATCCTGGTGGGAGCAGGAGGAACTGGAGTTTCGGTAACACTGGATCCCCTTCAGGGAAATGGGTCTCTTCACAAGTGTGAAGCAACAATTGGAAGACGACACTTGCACTGGAAGAGAAACGCAAAAATGTTCACATCTCATCAACCTGGCTTTCTTTTCTCTCAACAACAAAAACCACCCTATCCGGTTTTAGTCTGTGGATAAAGCGCCAGCCTGCAGACTGCAGGGTCACTGGTTCAATCCCTGTCAAAGTTGCAACCATTCAATTTGTTTCTCTCACATTGATATTTCTGTCTTTCCCTCTCCCTTCCACTCTCTCTCTAAAAAAATAAAATAAAATAAAATAAAATAAAATAAAATAAAATAAAATAAAATAATAATAATAATAATAATCCTTGGGTGAGGATTAAAGGATTAAAACAATCCTTTCAGGACAGGCTCAGGCTTTGGGAGGGCCCTGGGGCAGCCAACTAGTTCTGTGTTTAGGCAGAGTCAGGACACTGGGGTTCAGATCTTAGCTCCCCACAAACCAGCGGGTGACCTTGAGCAAGATCACTTGGGTCCCCAGACCTCCCATCTGTAAAATAAACCACTTCTGACATCACACCACTCGTGTGAGGTTCTGCCCCAATATTGCAGTTCCAGGGCTCTGGATCTCATGCTCTGGGGTCCTGGTGAGTCTGGCCCATGCAGGACAATATGGTCCAAGAATATGGGGCTGGATTAGACATCATTCAAGGAGCTCAAACCGAGAGGGACAAGGGAAGTCAGCTCCCCTGCTGGCTCTCAGAATGCCCTGCTCCCCTGTCCTCAGCTCTGTCTTGAGCCCCCACCCGACCCTGCCTGTTTCTATACCCTCCCACACCCCACCCTCCTGGCTCCTTCCTCCTGGTCTTACTGTTTACAGAGCCCCTTTTGTGTATTTATCATTTTCTAAACAGCCCTGGATGTTAGACATTCTCAGTCCTGTGCTAACGATGGAGAAATCAGTTTGAGAAGTAAAGCGAAGACTTGCCGAAGGCTAGCCAACTCTTACAGCCCCAGTCCTGACCTCTGCCCTTTATCTGTTACATTGTGGAGGCAAGACCCAGGGCCCCTCTGGACCTCAGGGCCCCTCTGGACCTCAGGCCTCCAGCTGATAACCTCAGGGCCCCCTCCATCTGTCTGCAGGGTCTGGAGGAGGCCAGGCCTCCTTTTGCAGGAGCCAGTGGCTCAGCTGCCTGTGGTTGCCCAGATTCCTGGTTCTCCTTCGGGCCCTGTGCCCCACCCATTCCTCCTCTTCCAGGAGAATTCTTGCTGGAGCAGGGAAGCCGGAGGCAGAGAGTGGAGGGTGAGCTCTGCCTGTAACCCTGGGTGCCTGCCCACATCGCTGCCCTCCCCAAGGAGAAGCTAAGGGACGCCAGCCCCACTCACGGCTCAAGCTGTTCCCATCCTGCAGCCACGTCCCCGTCAGCAGCAGGCACACCAGGGCTGTGGTGGTGAGCTTCATCGCGGGCTGGCTTGGGTCTGTCTGGAGTGGTCTCACAAGTTGGTGAAGCAAGTGCTCCTCGTGGCCCATCCTGCAGTGGCCGGGCTTTTTATAGAGCGAAATGGGACCTCCCAGGTGGGGAAGTCACCTGGGGAAGAGGTGGGTACAGTGGCCATGTTGACCACACCTCTCTCCACCCCTGTGAGGGAAGAGACTTCCCTGCTGCCTCAGCAGATAGGGATCTTGAAAAAAGTGAGTAGGAGCTGCCCTCTGAGAAGCGGAGAAGAGTGAGTGAGAGGAAGTGGCCTGCTTGTGGCTTCTCTGATCCCAATCTTTTCATCCAAGGATGTCCCCAGCTAGAGGGCTCTGGACCAGGACTAAGACACTCTCTTAGCAGGTTTTTGTTCTGCCCTTTCCTGGCAACAAAACACTATAAACAATTATTTATTCAGAATAGGGTTGGGACCAGATTTGTGACTTGGACTGAAGGCTTATGCAAGATAACGAATGAAGTTACATTTACTTTTGACAGAGTCCAGGAGAGGTAACAGGTGAGAGTACTTCAGTAACGGAGCATAAAAATATGCTTTCCACCCCCTCTCCCCCTGCCTTCACAAGGTGTATTGTTTTGATTCAGGGTCAAACAGCTCAAGAATCACAAACATTCGGAATCGAAACTCCTGTCCTGCCACCGGGCTTCTCTGAGCTCCTGACTTCCTGGTGCTTTCTCAGTTTCAGCTGGAAGCATTTTGCTTGTGGCCCATGACTCCTGGGGTAGCTGCGAGCTCAATGCCTCAGGAGCTGGGATCAGCCCTATTAGGCTCTGTCTGTTCCCTGGACCCTCACCAGTAAGGGAGGGTGACTTCCTGAAGGCTCCCTCAGCATCACAGGCCTGACCCAAAGGCCAGTTCCACCAGGGGGCAGGAGTCTGCCCACACGTGAAGACACAGAGCCATCATGCCGAACCGAAGAGGGTCCCAGGGCACCCAGGCTGGGGACTTTGAATGGAGTGAAGTGGTGGGATGGGACTACCTGGGGAGGCTTTTCAATGCACTCCAACTGCCCTAAACCCAGAATAGGAAGTTCCAGAGTGGGGCTCTAGCACATGATATGGATAAAAGGTTCCCGAGTAATCCTAACATGCATCCCATTTCTAGGGAAATGAGTCACTGGGTTAGGCCAACCTTCATACATTTCAGGTGAAGAAATTGAGGCCCAAAGATAGAATGTTACCTCCCCAAGGTCCCACAGAGAATGAGCAGCAGGGCTGAGAGGCCCCATTTCCTCTCTCTCTCTCTCTCTCTCTCTCTCTCTCTCTCTCTCTCTCTCACACACACACACACACACATGAGAGGGCTGCCCCCTCTCACAGCTTGGGAGCCCTCAGAGGTGGGAGGCAACCCAGCAATCATGGGGAAGGTGATGCCCCCATCACACCTCTGCTGCTGCCACTGCTGGTAGCACAAGCCTCAGCTGGCCCTGGTTACCTAAGACTTGGGTGGCTCTGGGAGGCTGGGAAGCTGACATTTGAGGCTTGCCTGCACCTTGGGTCAGCCCTGGGCGGCTAGAGCTGAGGGGACTAGGGAACTCCGGAAGCAGGTATGCAGAGCGGCCGGACCTTACTGGGGGTGGGCCCGGCTGTGCCACGTGCCTGCCGCCCTGGCAGGCTGAGGGAACTGGGCACCATCATCTTGTGGTTGTGGGCACCGTCATCTTTGAGGGTGTGACAGTCAATTAACATATTCCCTCCTTATTGGCTGTGGGTGCCTCCATATTTGTAAGAGTGTGACAGTCAATTAGCATATTCCCTCTTTATTAGATAGGATATTTTGTACTGATTGGTTTGCATTTCCACTCTGGGGGTTGCCTAAAGCACCCAGCGGGCAGAAAAATATCACAGTCACTGAGGCCAGCTTATTCCTCATGTTTTCGTGCCTCCTCAAAAATGCAGCAACCTATTGAATTCTACCAACTGCCAGCCCACATGGTTGATGCGGAACTCTAAACCAGCTACAGCCTGTCTTTAAAGAACAAAATCGAGCCTGGTCAGGTTACTTCAGGCACAAATGTGTGTTGATGATTTACCTACTGTCTCCAGGCCTCAAGTTGATTTGTCATGCTCTTCTCTGAGATGCTAAGTTTAGAAGCCTAAAACACTGCACTTCCCATACTCCTTTGCACTTGGCTTTCTCTAAAGTTCTGCAAATAGTAGACAATTAGAAGGCAGGAGGATGGAAAGCAACTTTTCTGTTCTAGATCATGTTCCACACCCTGAATAGCAACTCAGACTCCCATTCTATGAAGTTTTGAAGAATAAAATTCGCGGACTAAAAGATTTAAAGCACAAGTTAGAAGTTTATTGTAAGTGGGCCGAAACTGGTTTGGCTCAATGGATAGAGCATCGGCTTGGGGACTGAAAGGTCCCGGGTTCGATTCCGGTCAAGGGCATGTACCTTGGTTGCGGGCATGTCCCCAGTAGGGGGTATGCAAGAGGCAGCTGATCGATGACTCTCTCTCATTGATGTTTCTTTTTTTTTTTTTTTTTTAATATATTTTTATTGATTTTGTACAGAGAGGAAGGGAGAGAGATAGAGAGTTAGAAACATCGACAAGAGAGAGTCATTGATCAGTTGCCTCTTGCACACACCCTACTGGGGATATGCCCGCAACCAAGGTACATGCCCTTGACCGGAATCAAACTCGGGACCCTTCAGTCCCCAAGCCGACGCTCTATCCATTGAGCCAAACCGGTCTCGGCTCATTGATGTTTCTAACTCTCTCTCTCCCTTCCTCTCTGTACAAAATCAATAAAATATATTAAAAAAAAAAAAAAGAAGTTTATTGTAAGTGTATACAAACTTCCCTGAGAAGGGGCACCCCAAAATGGGAAATCCCCTCCTTCCCCTCTCTAAAATGGGGAAAAAAACTTAGTCTAGTGAATCTCTTTGTCTATAGGTTTATAAATGCTGGCCACATCTTTGTCCTGTGTATGTTACTTTCTATTGGATCCTTCTTCATTTTATGTCCCCCATGCTTTCCTAATTGGCCACTTCCCTTCTTTTCCCTGCATGGGATCAGTTTCAAAGCTCACCTGGTGCCCCCCCTCTACTTCTGCCCTTATCTTGTAACATTCTTGAAAACAATATGGCAGCTTGGTGCTATCTCTTCTCATCATGTATGGATTCCTCTTCCAGGAACCCCCCTTTTCCTAAAACTGCTTCTTCTGTCTCTAAACACCTTTCAATGAACCTCCAGAAGAGACAGCCAAGGCTCCAGCCTGCAGCTTCCTCTGGTGCTGCCAGCACCAGTTATACCTGCCCCTGGGAGGTGCTACCCTGCCCTTAGCTGGTCAAACCACATTGCACTGATTGACTGAAGAGGTATGAGCACCATGTATGCAAGTTCTTCCCTTCATACAGCTCTGAGAGTGCAGGAATTTTAACTCCTTGCTTCAAGCCCCAAGCCTAGGATTGTACACTAGCTACTGCAGTTTCTATGACCTGGGTGACACCCTGGCGCGCGCGCTCTCTCTCTCTCTCTCCCCCAAGTTTGCAGGAAATGGTGGGAAAAGCACCCCAGCCTTTCCACCCTACAGATCAGGGGCAGGAAGTGGCAGCAATCTGACTCCAATGTATGCCCACCAAACCCAACGGGACACCATGATTCAAGTCATGCCCACAGCCTGTTGGGAAAGTCCCCCCAGGAGCCCTTCTCTCTCTGGGGAAACAGAGGGACAGCCTGGGTCCCACCACAACCCACAACCCATTTCCCAGTACACTCTGTTCCCACAGCCCCGGGCACCCAGTTGGCCTGGGAAAGGGTGCTTTTCTCTCAGGCTGGGTTCCCGGGCTCAGCTCAGAGTTGGCCTACACTGAGAGATGCCACCATCACCATGTGTATCCTGGACTGCGGAGTGAGATGATCAGGCTACAGAGAGTGCTCTGAGCTTACACAGCTTACCCTTCAGAACCAGAGCTGGGCTCACCCCTTAGAACTGGGGCCAGGCCTCGGACACACTGACATTCGGGTCTCCTGGCCATCACCTCTATCCCATGGTGCAGGGGTGGGGAATGTTCGTCTGCTGGCCTTATAAGGCCCGAAAAATCATTTGGTCCAACAAGGCATTAAAGGGTGAATTAATTAAATGCTTGGCCAAATAGAACAGGCTAATTTATTTTTATTTTTTCACAGGGGCAAGGCTAATTTATTTTATTTTACTATTTTTACCAACATTTAATGTACATTTATTCTTTTTTTTAAAAAAATATATTTTTATTGATTTTTTTACAGAGAGGAAGAGAGAGGGATAGAGAGTTAGAAACATCGATGAGAGAATCATCGATCAGCTGCCTCTTGCACACCTCCTACTGGGGATGTGCCCGCAACCAAGGTACATGCCCTTGACCGGAATCGAACCCGGGACCTTTCAGTCCGCAGACCGACGCTCTATCCACTGAGCCAAACCAGTTTTGGCAATGTACATTTATTCTTAACACATGGAACATATAGTATAAAGATTTCATACTGAAAAAATGATATTCATTAAGCCAGAAAAGGAAAAAAAGGGGGAATTTACATCAAGTTTTAGCTACATAGTTTGAAATACAAATATGCAGATTTTATCACTGAAAAAATCTCAATTGTGTTTCCTCATCAGGAACTTCAACTGAACCTAGAACTTTTTCACACCTCGATTAGAAACAAAACAAAACAAAACAAAAACTCAGGAAAAAATAAACTGTAAGTTGATTGGCTGCTGAGATGGCAAGGACTTTTTACAGAGATCTGTACAGCATTGCACCAAGAGGGGTGATGTCTGGCAAGAGATTAAATAGCTGTGTCTCTCTTTGTGCAGGTCACCAACTTGTTAACTCGTCAGGGGTAGCTGGGAGGGGGACCAAACTGTGGGGACTCAAGGGTATGTGCAATGTACAACGTCATATATATACACACATGGCAGGACAGTGGCTGCAGCTAAAGGTTAAAACCAGTTCTAAGAGGTGATCTCAGGGTTATTCATA